TTGGGGGGGGGGGGGCAGGGCAGGGGGTGGAAGCGTTGATGTGGCTCTACTAACGGGACACGGAATAAAACACTTCTTCCTTCGATGAAGCGGGTCTGTGCCGTACTATGGTTAAGCTTCCGTTTTCTTTTTTCTGGAAGACGCCTTGGATTGAATGCACTGTCGTGGTTTTTTGTAGGATTTGGCGAGGTGGTGGTGGGAAGCCATCCAAGTTAGCGGCATCCAGGCATGATGGGGGGGGGGAACTGGAGACAAAACACTCCGGTTCAGCTAAATATAATTCCGTGGATGCTGACGTACATGGAAAAGCTTGCTCACGCTGCTGCTCTTGTCTCCTTGAGCGAGGAAAGTCTGCAGAGCTTTTCCATCGAGTTCTGATTAGCCTCATCCCTGTGTCCCTTTTGTTTTATGAAAGAATCCAGTCCAAAGACGAGCCTTCAGGACATTCTCTGCCGGAAAGAGGCAAGGGGAATCAAGGCAGTGGCCATGTTGTGAATACAGGGAATGGCAACAACGCTGGGGCAGAAGTGGGGAAAAGTTACCCTTCTGGACTCCTGCTGCACCATCCCTGACAGGTAGTGGCTCAATTTTTGTTTTAATGACCCAAGAAAGAGAGTTTGTCCCTTCCCAGTGGGTTACTTGCCTGGTGGAGCAGCATTTGGGGCCAGGAAATTCTTGGTCCTGTTTGGTCAGAATTGCCTTGCTCATCATTTGTCTGCAATGACAGTAACCATGTGGTGCAGTGGTTCAACTGCAGTACTGCAGCCAAAACTCTGCTCATCATAATCCAGGTTCAATCCCAGGTAGCTAGCTGGCTCAAGGTTCACTCAGCCTTCCGAGATCAGTAAATGTGAGTACCCAACTCTCTGGGGAGGCAATGCATAGCCTGCATAATTAAATCGTAAGCCGCTCAGATAGTGCTTTAAGTGCTGGGGTGGTGATGGTATATAAGCAGCACACTTTGCTGGTGTGTGCGTGTGCGTGTGCGTGTGCGTGCACGCGCTGGTGTGTATATGGTATATAAGCTGGTGTGTGTGCGTGCGCGTGCGCGCGCGCGCTTTTTACCCCGTGGAATGCAGAAGATGAATTTGTTCCATTTTTTGCATGATTGTCCTTCAGCTCTTGGAAGGTGGCTGTAACCGAACTGCTCGCTCTTGCGCTCTCCGTGCCCAGCTGGACCAAATACTCTTCACAAGGCTTCGTTTCCAGGCCCTCGGCTGCCTTGGCCGCCCTTTCCTGGACACCTGCCAGCGTCTCAATATCCTGCAAATAGGATTTTCTGTTGCCACGCTTAGAGCTGTTTTAGATACAGGGGAAAGGTGGCGTGAAAGGGGATGAGAGGAAAAGGCATAAAATGAGGCACGTGGCAGAGAAAGTTGATGGGTGCTGTTGTCCCTCTCTTGAAATGCTAGAACCCCCAAGGATCCTTTGTTGAAAGGCAAGAGGTGGTGAGAGATTCAAGACAGAGAGGGAGGAAATTACTGACATGCATCAGAATGACGGCACAGTTTACTGCTGTAAGGCATTTACAGTAGTAGCAGCTGCCAACTTCAGTTATAAGAACCTAATTACAAGTGGATTAGGCAGATTTATGGAAGGTAAACTGCCAATGGCCATTACATATGACGGCTAAATGCCATGTTGAGTACCAGTGGCATTACATCTCTCCAAAGTATCAAGTGGTGGAAAATAGGTTGCGGTAGGAAGGGGTTCCTGTAGTTATGATCTCTAGTAGCTTCCCAGAGGATGGTTTGTTGGCCATGGCGGGAACAGGACACTGGTGGGTTGGTTGCTATCGTTTAAATATTTCCTTTCTCCCCTTGGGAGACCCAAGATGGCTCACAAAACAACCGTTCTAAAAATATTACACAAACATATTAAAAACAAATATACATAGATCAAGATTAAAAACAAGGTTAAAACATTTAAATATCTGGAAGTTAATAAATAAAGCATTCCTGAGAAAGGCTTATTGCTTAAAAGCCTGCCTGAAGAGAGAAGAGAGTTTTCCTCGGAGCTGTTTTACAATACCAGGAGGGTCCCTTCTGGCTTATGGCAAACCTAATGCAGTCGTCGAATAATTGCGTTGGAAAGGAGCCTAATAAGGCCGTCGAGGCCAGCATTTGAGATACGTGAAAGGTTCAAGGAGTGGTTTTGCCAGGGCCACCCCGGCCTCTACTCAAGGTTCCATGGCCCAGCAGGGATTCGAACCCAGGTCTTCTGAGCCCACTTCTGATCTGTTCACTGTGCTGAATCTTCTGGGGGATCTAGCATTTTGGGTTGTGGGCGCTATTACGGGCCCATTTATAGAGGGATAGCTTTGCTTGTCACCAGTGAATGTCTCACTCCTGAAAAAAAAACCCAATAAGTCCTGTTTGGGGCACATTTTTGTGTTTGTGAGAGGTATCTCTGAAGGAACCAGCTGCAATTCACCAAAAGATAAAGGTTCCCCTTGACATTTAGTGGCTGCAATTCACCAAAAGATAAAAGTTCCCCTTGACCTTTAGTCCAGTCGTCTCCGACTCTAGGGTGCGGTGCTCATTCCCATCTCCAAGCCATAGAGCCAGTGTTGGTCCGTAGACAGTTTCTGTGGTCACGTGGCCGGCGCGACTAGACACGGAACACCTTGACCTTCCCACCGAGGTGGTCCCTATTGATCGACTCGCATATTTACATGCGTTCGAACAGCTAGGTTGGCAGGAGCCGGGACAAGTGATGGGAACTCACTCCATTGCATGGATTCGATCTTATGACTGCTGGTCTTCTGACCTTGCAGCACAGAGGCTTCGGGAGCTTAACCCACAGCAGCACTATGTCCCTTCACCAAAGCTTATGCCAAACAGGACTTGCTGGACTTGGAAGTGGTACATGGTTATTTGAGGGTTTTGCAACTCTATCAGATTAAATCATTAACACTTTCTCGCTTTTCTGGACACCCAAAACCTCCCTGAGTAGGTGACCTTGCCCTTAGTAGAAGACCAGAATCTTTTGCTTGAATAAGCAACTCGGCTTTTATAAGCAACTCTCCGGTGGATAAACAGGCTGGCAAACAGATGGAATTATTCCGGGGGCCGGACAGAAAAAGCCACCAGCCCAGGAGAAGACAGGAAGCAGGAGAGTGTCGTTTTTTGCTGTGGTTCAGGCAGGCAGAGATCCTGACTGTTTTAAACATGCAAAAGCAATCTTTCAAGCATTTTAAAAACATTTTTGCATCTCTTTTCAGTGTAAAAGGAAAACATGCCTTTGATATTACAATGGCCTCTCTCTTCTGTCTTGTGTCCTAAATGAATAGTGTTCTCGACTGGCACATTAACCCAGGAGAATGGCACCTACTGGTTCAGCCAGGAGGCTGCTACTCTAGAGAAAAACTAGACGATCAAAATGGTGCCTGTTCTGAACCACCAGGACACAACAGTTTGGGATCATGAGTTTTTCTAGTGAAAGAGTGAGAGTAACAGAGAGAGAGAGTAGTTTCTTCTTGGACGTAGAACTCTCTGTGAACAATACTATCTTGTGTTCTTGATTTCTCTTCTTGGAATTCCATGTGGAAAAAAATAACACACACAATGGGTACACCTGTAATTGTACTCAGGATGGGTCCCCTTTCAAAGCATGACAATAAACCAAGAGCAGAAGATGTTACCTTTAATAGAATAACCAAGAGCAGCCCTCAAGTCAATTCTGGCTTAAGGTGACGCTTTTTCAGGGTTTTCCAGGTAGAGCATATTTAGAAGTGGTTTGCTGTTCCTTCTCTTGGGGGCAACTGTGCGGTTGTGCAGCTGGCCCAAGGCTACACAGGCTGGCTCTTACCGCAGGAAGCCCAGTGGGGAATCGAACTCGCAACCTCTGGCTTGCCTAAACCACTGAGCTATCCAGCCACCTGTGACACTTGTATAAGCTTTAAAATCCCATCACGGAAGGAAAAAAAGTTGGGCC